CTTACTACCTACATATCAGTGGAAGGTTTTTGCTTTCCCTATTCTTTTAAAAAAAAAAAACAGGTTTTCACCAGTTTTTATTCCTCATAATCTCCCCTCTTAATCTATGGTGTTTGACCTGGTTCTCACTTGAATATACTTGACGTGCATATACACTTTGGTTGTAGGATAACAATGTGTAGAGCTGGATGAACACAGCAGGCCAAGCAGCATCAGAGGAGAGGGAAGGCTGACGTTTCAGGTCTGGACCCTTCTTCAGAAAATACACTTTTGTTGTGTTCTGTTGCAAAACTGCTTTATTTTATGCATTGTATATACCTACATCATACATTTTAGTGTTTCTATCCACGTGACCCAGAGTGTTTTCTCATAGTTAATTTAGCTGCCATGGCCCCTCTTATGATTCTCACCGCATCCTAACATCTGCTATTCCCAGCATGACTCACTGCTTCTGGGATATCCCAGAAGTAACCAGCATCCCTGGTACCATCTTTAAAAGGCTGCTGTACACCAAGACAAGCACTGTCAGTCTGGAACTGCCCTGCATTTGTTCTTGTCATTCGGCCTGGATATGGCAGACAAGGGCAAATTAGCATCTCATTTTGTGGACAGGATCCCGGAGGAACTGGTGGACACAGCAGTGAAGATTCAGGGCATTCTCTTACCCCAGGACGAGTAGAGGAGGTCACCAGACCAGACCATGTCAGAGTTGTCACCCAGGTCATCCATCTAGAGGAAGTGATCATAATGCATCGGAGCAGATTTAAGCTATTCAGCCCATCAAGTCTGCTCTGCCATTCACTGAGATCATGGCTGATCTGATACATCTCAACTCTACCTTCCCGCCTTTTCCCGATAACCCTTGATTCCCTTATTTAAAATCTGTCTTAGTCTTGAATATCTTTAATGATGCAGCCTTGACAGCCCTCCGATGAAGAATGTCAGTGATCTTCTACACACTGCCAGCTAAGTGGCACTGTATCTCTAAGAGTTCAGACACTGTTTACTGCATTGACCTCCCACAAAGGCTCATGCTCTACCACCCTCATTATTACCTGCAACATCTGCCTCACTTGCTGTTATCCACTCATTCTGCATGCCCTCTGTGCTGCCTACTCACTAGTTTGGGACAACTTCCCACCTGTACCAAAAATAACAGTTGTTCCATCTATTTCCATCTCCCTTTATAGAACATAGAACAGTACAGCACAGGAATGGACCCTTTGGCCCAGGATGTGGCACCAGACATGACGCCAAGTTAACCTAATCCCTTCTGCCTGCCCTTGGTCCCTCTGTATATTCATGTGCTCATCTAAAAGTGCCTTAAACGTACCTATCTTATCTGCCTCTTCCACTACCCCTTCAGTACATTCCAGGCTCCCACCTCTGTGGGAAAAACTTGTCCCTCATCTCCTTTGAACTTTCCCCCTCTCACCTTAAATGCATGTCCCTTAGTACTAGACATTTCAACTCGGAGTGGGGGGGGGGGGAAGAAGGATTCTGATCAATCCTATTTATGCAACTTAATTTTAGAGACTTCTATCAAGTCTCCTCTCAGCCTCCATCACCCAGAAAAAGCAACCTGGGTTTCTCTAGCATCTAATTCAGGCAGCATCCTGCTAAAGCTCTGAGCCCTTTCCAAAGCATCCACATTCTTCTTGTAATGCGGTGACCAGAACTGAATGCAGTACTCCCTTGTACTCAATTCCCAGACCAATAAAGGCAAGCAAGCCATATGCCTTCTTTACCACCCTATCTACTTGTGTAGCCACTTTCACGGAGGGAATGCCAAGATCCCTCTCTACATCAATGCTGTTTAGGGTCCTGTCATTAACTGTATTCTTTTCCTTCAGATTTGATCTCCCAGAGTGCAGAGTATCTCACACTTACCCAGATTAAACTCCATCTGCCATTTCTCCACCCATATTTTCAACTGATCTATATCCCGCTGTATCCTTTGACAACCTTCTACACTATCCATAACTCCACTGATCTTTGTATTGTCTGCAAACTTACTAATCCACCCATCTACATTTTCATCCAAGTCATTCATATATCACAAAACAGCAGAAGTCCCAGTATGGATCCCTGCCAAACATCACTACTCACAGAACTCCAGCCAGAAAAACACCCTTCCACCACTACCCTGTCTTCGATGGGCAAGCCAATTCTGAATCCAAGCTGCTGAGTCACCATGGATCTCATGCATCTTAATTTTCTGGATGAGCCTACCATGAGGAAGTTTGTTGAAAACCTTACTAAAATCTTTGTAAACAACATTCACTGTTCTACCCTCAATGATCACCTGTGTCACCTCCTCAAAAAATTCAATCAAGTTAGTAAGACATGTTCCGCCCTGCACAAAGCCATGCTGACTGAGCCTAATTAAGCCATGCTTTTCCAAATGGGCGTAAATCCTAACCCTAAGAATTCTTTTCAATGGTTCCCAACCACCAATGTGAAACTCACTAGTCTATAATTTCCTGGATTATTCCTATTTCCCTTCTTGAACAGAGGAACAACATTAGCCACTGGAGAGGTCCCTGGAGGACTGGTGAGTAGCTAGTGAGGATACAGAGATCTTGGTCAAGGCCCCAGCAGTCTCCTTTCTTGACTCTATGACTTGCAGACATATCCAACTTAATGCTCTTCAAGAGACCCAACACCACTTCATCCATGATCTCAAAATGCCCTAGCACATTAGTATGTTCCACACCAATCTCTAACCTCCAGATCCTTCTTTTGGATGAATGCCAACACAAAATACTCATTTAGGGTCTCATCCATATCTTCTGCCTTCAAGCACAAGTTCCTTCCTTTATATCTGTGCCTCATTCATTCTAGGAAGAAACCCACAATAGGCCAATGCTAGAGTACTGCTAGTGTGCAGTTCTGGCATCAGAGGAGATATGTTATTGCACTGGAGAGGCTGAAGAGGAGATTTGCTAGGATGTTTCCTGGGCTGGAGAATCTCACTCAAGAAGACCGGGGTTGTTTTCCTGGGAGCAGAGGAGATTGAGCGAGCACATGATTGAGATGTAAACAGAAAAACTTTTCCCCATGATGGAGTGATCAATGGCCAGAGGGACATAGCTTGAAGGCAAGGGGCAGAGGGTTTAGAGGAAGTGTGAGGAAAACTTCTCATCCAGAGGCATGTAGGAATCTGGAACTCACTGCCTGTAAGAGTGGTAGAGGCAGAAACCCTCATAACATTTAAGAAACATAAACAGCCTAGACAGATTCTAATTTAATGAGGAGTGGATCCTGACTCCGACTGCCCCAGTGGCTGACAAGGTGACTAGTCAAACTCTTTTCTCCAGGGTAAGAGTCCAAAACTAGAGGGCGCAGGTTTGAGGTGAGAGGGGAAAGATTTAAAAGGGACCTGAGGGACAACTTTTACACACAGAAGATGGTGGTGTACATGGAATGAGTTCCTAGGGGAAGTGGTGGAGCCAGGTACAATTACAACATATAGTCCTGGGCAGAGCAGTTGCCACAAGAAACTACAGAAGGTGGTGTGCACAGCCCAGACCATCACGGAAGCCAACCTTCCATCCATTGGACTCTATTTACACAGCTCGCTGCCGCAGAAAGGCAGCCAAAGACCCATCGCACCCTGGTAATGATCTCCTACAACCTCTTCAGACTTCTGTATCTTCTGCCTGACCGAACATACACACAAGCAAGTTCAGGAACGGCTTCTTTCTGACTATTGTCAGACTGTTGTATGGACTCTAGCCTCAAATAATGTAACCTGTATGCCTCTAAGTCTTTTTGGTTTGTACATCTTTTGCTTGCTGTGATCTGCCTGTACCACTCGTAAACAAAGCTTTTCACTTGATTTTTTTGATTGCTTTTATTGTCATTTGTAAAGAAATAAACCAACATTTAAAAGACATCTGGACAGGAACATGGATAGGCAAGGTTTACACGAATAGGGACCAAACCCTGCAGTAGAACTATTTCAGGTAAGGAAACCTGGTTGGTAAGGACAAGTTGGGCCAAAGTTACAATGCTGTATATTTTTCTGAATCTTGTTTGTAGATCCGCTGGATTCAATAACTCTACAAATCAATCAGCTACTCATTGCTTGCTGAATCTTAATTTGTAGACTAGTAACCAATTATTGATTTTAAAAAAAAGGCCCACTGTCTGCCAACAACTGAGTGATTGGCTCTCCAGATCATCGCCAGCTCAGAAGCTCTGTTCACTGCAGTAAATGCCTTCTTAAACACTCTGTCTGCATATGATTGTGAACTAGTCACCCTGTGCAGCCTGAAATCCAATGAGTGTATGCAAAGAAAAAAGTCTGAGACGCAACATTCTGAACAGCACAAGAACATCTCAACACACCCTGTGAACAGAGATCAATGAACTGCTTTCTCATTTTTTCCCTTTCTCCATGACATCTGTTTTTTTGTCATTGTCATGTGCAGTGATTGTGTGTGCGCATGTGTGTGTGCGCACATGCGCACACACACACACAGGGAGAGTTTATAAAGTGTTACTAGCATTTAAGCAGCAGAGTAATATTCCACAAGTTCATAATTGTTTACTTGTAGCTGGAGTTTATTTACTTGCAATTGTAATCCTTGATAAGTACAGAACTCCAAATAATGCTTTCTCATAACCTAAGTCTAAAAGAGGGGTAAATTGGACAAGTTTGTCTACTTCAATAAAATCTATATAATAATTCCATTTTATCAATCTCAACCTTCAGTCCCAGACCACAGCTCCTCCCATGACCCCTCTTGCTTTTTCTCCCAATCCCTGCCACATTACATTACCCTACCTCTTAAACCCTCTCAACCCTGTCTATGTTTTTGATGCCTTCCTCCCTTTTTCCCCATTTCTTCATCTCATTGTCTTGTTCTTTCTTCCTCCTGCCTTCTCTTTGCCAGGTCCAGACTCTCCACTTTGTTTTACTGCCAGTGGAACAAAATGCAGACCCTCCCCCACCTCCAGGATTGAGAGGCTGTGAGGTGTTGTCTGAAATTTACCTGTCTGGTGTAGAGTCGGCAGTGCCAGCAATGCAGCAGGAGAGTGCCCAGCTGTGTTGTAAGCACGGACACAGATGTTGCCGTCTCCTTTGGGACTTGAGATTCTGCAGCTCAAACTCGTCGTATTACACAAAGTGACTTCAGGATGATTGGCATCAGATTCACATCCATATGTCACTCTGTAGCCTTGGATCCTCCCATTCATTTCAGACTCCTTCAGTTCCTGTTACAACATTGCAAATATATTCAAAACCAAAGCACAGAAAAGCAAAGCAACCTTTGCCAAAACCTGCACCGATCAGCTGATTGACATTTGTCCAACTTGCCACAATCATTTGTGAAAATGTGTCAGGTTTCAATAGCATCTTAAACAGGGGTGGCATATTCACAGAGTAGCCCTAATTCCAGTAACCACATCCTGGCCACTATATCCCTGCCCCAATTAACATCTCCCTTACCCTGGCCCCAAATCACTCATCATAACCTATACCCAATTAACCCTCCCCCTGCCTTGACCCAATTAATCTATCACCAACCCAGACTCAACTCACCAATAACTTAGCCCCAATTAACCAACCCCTTGTCTTGACCCAATTAACCCATCCCAAATCCTGCCAGTGAACCCTTACTCTGCCCCAATTAATCTACCACTAACCCAACCTCAATTAACCCACTCCTAATAATGCCCCAATTTACTCAACCCCAACTACTGCTGTCTCAGGAGCCATGCTGAATTTGTGTACTGTATCTTGTAGATGGCGCACACTGCTGCTACTGAGCATCACTGCTGGAGGGAGTGGATGCTTGTGGATATGGTGTCAATCAAGCATGCTGCTTTGTCCTCGATGGTGTCAAGCTGCCTGAGTGTTTAAATAACTCCACAAAGGCTGGTATCCCATTTGCAAGTCACCCTTTTTTTTTTCAGTGCATAGTACATGGTACTGACCCAGCTAGCTCCTAGAGTGCAAAGAATCCCTAACACTCCTGTTTATATCAGTCAGCCAGGACTCCCTGATTGGACCAGGTCAACAGCCCCAATCATATGCTATTGAGATCCACCTGGTTGACCTTGTTCCAATCACTACAAATGTTGCTGGAGCTGCACCCATCCAGTTAAGTGGGAAGCATTCCATCATACTTCTGACTTGTTACTGTAGATGGTGGATGGGCTTTGGGGAGTCAGGAGGTGAGTTGTTCACTGCAGTATTCCTAGTCTCTGACTTGCTCTTGTATTCGTTGTATTTATATGGCTAGTCCTGCTTAGTTTCTCATTAATTGTAAACCCCAAGATGTTGTTTGTGGGAGATTCAATAATGGTAATGTAACTGTATGTCAGATGGCAATTGTTAGATTCTCTCTTGTTAGGCATGGTCATTGCCTGGTGTTTTGCGAATGTTACTTGCCACTTGTAAGCCCAAGTCTGGATATTGTTCAGATCTTGTTCAATTTGAAAGTTTCTATGGAATGCTTCAATACCTGAGGAGTTGTGAATGGTGATGAGCATTGTGCAATCACGGTAGCGGATTTCAAAACTAGAGGGCACAGGTTTAAGGTGAGAGGGGAAAGATTTAAAAGGGACCTAAGGGATAATGTTTGCACGCAAATGGTGGTGCAATGGCCTAGTGGTATTATCGCTGGACTATTAATCCAGAGACCCAGATAATGTTCTGGGGACCCGGGTTTGTATCCTGCCACGGCAGATGGTGGAATTTGAATTCAATAAATATCTGGAATTAAGAATGTAATGATGACCATGAATCCATTGTCGATTGTCAGAAAATCCCATTTGGTTCACTATTATATGTTAGGGAAGGAAACTGCCATCCTTTTCTGGTCTGGCCTACATGTGACTCTAGACCCACAGCAATGTGGTTGACTCTTAACTGCTCTCTGGGCAATTAGGGATGGGCAATAAACGCTGCCTAGTCAGCGATGCCCTCATCCCATTAATGAATAAAGGATGCATGGAATGAGCTGCCAGAGGAAGTGGTGGAAGTTGGTACAATTACAACATTTAAAAGGCATTTGGATGGGCATATGAATATCTGGAATTAAGATATAACATAATTCCTACTTGAATAGGAAGGGTTCGGAGAGATATGGGCCAAATGCTGGCAAATGGAACTAGACTAATTTAGGGTATCTGGTCAGCATGGACGAGTTGGACTGAAGGGTCTGTTTCTGTGCTGTACAGCTCTATCCCTCTATGACATTGATATGGATTGTAACTTGTTAAGGTCCCAGCCCTGATCCTTGTGGTACCCTACAAGTTGTAGCTTGACCAGCTGAAAATGACATATTTATTCATATTCTCTGAGTGAGTGAAATCTTATAAGAGCCTGAGCAGTGTAGTCTATGGTGGGATATGTGGCAGAATTGAACAGAAAGTCCAGCTAACCGACTTAAACATCAGGAGCAACTCACACCATCTTTTATATTTTTAACAAGGAGCAGGGAAGATTCTGTCTTGGCAGTCGTGAGTTGCAATTTGACCCTTGTTGTTTGTTTGTTAAGTTGATTGTCAAATGCCTTGTTAGTGCCACAAGTCACCTCATTAATGTACACACTCCCATATTAGCAAACTCATCAAAAAAGCTAGACAACAGGAAAACAGGAAAGCAGAGTGAATATTTGGTGGATTCAGCTCACTGTGTGTTCTAAATGAACTCCTGGGCATCGACGTCTCTGGCATATTCCATAGCCAGTAATCACATGCACCCCACAATGACATCTGACATGCGCCAGCTTCTAACAATCCTCATGATCCACTTACAGGAAACTTCTGCACATCAATTCTGCACCTCAGGCTGCCCCAGTAACTCTCATTGTGATGCTGCAGCAAGACCACTATGTTCTCAGGGACACACGCCCAGCTCATTGATTGGACTTGGCTGTATCTCCAGGCTCTTCACTCACTGAAATAGCACCCACTCACTCTGGGCCTACCTGGATGTTCAGGGCATTACTGACTTGCATTGCCTTGCCTTTTTGCACTTTTCTCCCTCAGTCAGGAATACCAGATTTATATTAATGATGTTGCCATGCTGTTTAGTGCAGACACAAATGCCGGAAGCTTCTCGTGGTTATCAGCAGGCCTCAGTCAAGTCTAGAGGGATAGAGGTTGCTCAGGGTATCTCTGCACATTAAGTCATGGGCAGCCTTCAATACTCATCCAGATCCTGCTTGGGGTAGTCAGAGTTGGGATCCTAACCTCATAAAGGATGAGGAATCAACTGTCAGGCAGCACACCACCATCTGGACTCTTTCTTCCCATTATGGACTATTTTCCCCCTTGGAAATGAGATAGAGGCAGGTACGACGGGAGATGAAATAGAATTATACAGTACAGAAGAGGCCCTTCGGCCGATCAAGTCTGTACTGCCACAGCTACACTAACCTGCGCTAGTCCCACGTTCTAGCTCTAGGTCGATAGGCTTGAATGTTATGACATTCCCAACTGCTCATCCCAGTACTTTTTAAAAGGTTATGAGGTTTCCTGCCTCAACTACCCTCCCAGGCAGTGAGTGGCACAGCTATTACAACTGTGCTGCCTATTGCCTCATTCAGGACACCTCCCCACCTGCACAGACTAAGGGTGTTAGAGCTTGGGATGGATGAAGGCGATTTGGGGAAGTAGTATTGACAATATTGAGAGTTGTAGAGCAAGGGCCTTGCTGAGAGATGGGCTCAGTAGCAGAGACAGAGTGAGTGTGAGGTCTCACATAGGAGGAGAGAACATGATGAACCTTCCCCAGTCAGAATGGAAAGGGAGATTAACCTTCTTCCTACAGCATAGCTTTCTGGAGGAATGTCCAGAGACTGCTTTAATCCAAGTGGATACCTCACAGCAAGCTGGCATGGTCTGGTGTCATGGCCACCACATGAAGACCTGCCTATGCAGCACCCCATCCAGCAGGACTCCGCCCACAATGCAGAGCACCAACTTCCACATCCATCTTGTCTGGAGTCAATTTCAGGAGACAGCTCTGAACTGACAGTGTGTTTCCAGGTACACAAGAGGCTTTTAAAGATGGTGTAGGAGCAAAGGATGCTGGTAACTTCCAGTATATCTGCTGAGTGCTGAGTTGTTGTGGAAACAAAACCTGGTGAGATGGGGTAGAAATCAAAGTCCTTAGGGTGTGGTGGGCAATTAATGAGGTGAACCTGAGCACAAATCCCTCCAAACAGCTCGCTTCAACTGAGGTTTAGATGCAAAAAAATGTAAGATTCAGCTCAATAAAAACCGAAAGAACTGCAGATGCTGTAAATCAGGAACAAAAACAAAGTGGCTGGAAAAGCTCAGCAGGTCTGGCAGCATCTGTGAAGGAAAAAACAGAGTTAACGTTTCAGGTCTGGTGACCCTTCCTCAGAACTGGTGATAGCTGGGAAAACGTCAGTTTATATGCAGAAAATAGGGAGGTGGGTGGGGTAGGGAGTAAACGATAGGATAGAGCCCAAAGAAAGAGAAAGACAGTTGGACAGACAAAGGAGTTGCTAATGATCAGGCTGGGAGGGCGAATAGTTGTTAATGGAGACTGTTAGTGACTAACAACAGGGGGTGTGTAATGGCAGGCTATGTGGTAACAAGGTCTGGTGTGTGGGGTGGGTGGCTGAGACATGGGAGAGTTTAGGTCCTAAAATTATTGAACTCAATATTGAGTCCAGAGAGTTGTAGGGTCCCCAAGTGGAAAATGAGGCATTCTTCCAGCTTGTGTTGGGCTTTGCTGGAACACTGCAGCAAGCCAGAAACAGAGATGTTGGCCAGGGAACAGGGTGGTGTGTTAAAGTGGCAGGCAACAGGCAGTTCAGGGTCTTTTTGGCGAGCAGAATGTAGACTGCAAAGCAGTCACCCAGTCTACACTTCGTTTCCCCAATGTAGAGGAGACCACGTTGTAAGCAGCGAATGCAGTAGACTAGACTGTGGGAAGTGCAGGTGAACTGTTGCTTCACCTGAAAGGTATGTTTGGGCCCTTGGATACTGGGGAGGGAGGAGGTAAATGGGCAGGTGTTGCACCTTCGCCGGTGACAGGGGAAGGTGCTGTAGGGCTGTGGGAAGGTGTTGGGGGTGAAGGAAGTATGGACCTGGGTGTCCCAGAGGGAACGGTCCCTGAGGAAGGCAGACAAGGGAGGGGAGGGGAGTATGAGTCTGGTAGTGGCATCTCGCTGGAGGTGATGGAAATGGCGTCTGATGATCTTCTGGATGTGGATGCTGGTGGGATGGTAGGTAAAGATAAGGGGAACCCTATCGCTGTTGCGGGAGGGTAGAGAAGGGGTGAGGGTGGAAGTGTGGGAGATGGGTCAGACCTGGTTGAAGGCCCTGTTGTCAATGGAACTGGGGAATCCTCGGTTGTGGAAGAAGGTGGACATTTTCAGAGGCTCCCTTGTCGAAGTTGGACTCGTCTGAACGTGTGACGGAGACGGAGGAACTGAGAGAATGGGATGGAGTCTTTACAAGAAGTGGGGAGTGAGGATGTATAGTCCAGTTAGCTGTGGGAGTCAGTGGGTTGGAATGGATATTGGTGGCCAGAAATGGAAACAGAAATGTCGAGGAAGGGAAGGGAGGAGTCAGAGATAGGCCAGGTGAAAGTGAGGGCAGGGTGGAAATTGGAGGCGAAACTGATGAAGTTTCCCAATTCCAGCTGTGACAGGGAAGCAGCACTGATGATATCATCGACGTATCGGAGAAAGAGTGGGGGCCGGAATAGGACTGGAACAAGGAATGTTCCACGTACCCTCTTACCTGAAGAAAATGAGAGGAGTTGAAGGAGAAGTTGTGTAACATTCAGCCCTCTATTTTCAATTCACCAACCAATGTCTAACCATGCTAATATGTTGACCCTACACATTAACTTTGGTTTTGTGCTACACTCATTGGTATAGCATCTTATCAAATGCCTTCTTGAAGTCCAAGTACTCTACATGTGACAGATGTTAGGCTAACGTTAGGCTAGTTTCCGGCTTTCTATCGTTCTCCTTTCTTGAATACAGGAGTTACTTTCGTTACCTTCCAATCTGATGGGACCTTTCCAGAAACTAAGGAATTTTGGAAAATGACAACTGATATATCCAATACCTCACCAGTCACTTCTTTTAACTCTACTTAATTGGACAAGCCATATAAATACCGTGACAACAGCAGCAAGTCAGCAGCTAGGAATTCTTTGGTGAGTAGTTAACTTCCTAACACTCAAAAGCTGAGAACCACAACTCAGGGATAGCAGGTGCTGGAGAATCTGAGATAACAAGGTGTAGAGCCGCATGAACGCAGCAGGCCAAGCAGCATCAGAGGAGCAGGAAGGCTGACGTTTCGGG